CTAGTGATACTTATTTTTGTCGGCATTTTCGTCATTCTCGAGGAAAATCTCGATCTTATCGTTCATCCTTGGGCCGATGTCCTGGCAGCAGAGACAAGCTACGCCCTAGTATCAGCATACCGCCTCTCGCGATCAGAAAATAAGACTGAACTCACCGATGATTCCGATAACGCCGAAAGAAAGAGAAGATAAAGCTGTCGTCCGCAGACCAACAACGTAGCTTTGCTGAAACGCCGCGCCTGCCGCTACCATGATATCAGGCGAGATCCCTGGCACCTGTGCCAGAGCTGCAGACCCGAGCGGCAAAGCCGCCATGAGAGCAGCGACTGACGACTCTGGCAGGCCCGCTGCTGTAGCAGCTGCAGGCACAATGCGCGCGGCCTCTGTGCTCTGGACGTTGGTCAATATGGTCGTATACACCGAGATAGCGACAGAGCCGCCCGCAAAACGGGCCACGCCGGCGAGGCCACCTGATATACCGAGCTCTACTTGGTCTGTGCCGAACTGAATGAAGGCAATGCTAAGATACTGAGCCCAGCCAAAGCCGACCTCGGAGAGGAAGATCATGGCAATCATGAGGCCTTTGCGGTCCGGAGTGCCGAGAGCGAGAAGGGCGCCGAAGACGACCATGACAGTCACGCTGCCAGTCAATGTCCAGCGCCAGTGGCCTATCTTAGAACCAAGGAGGGTTAGAAGTACGGCGCCAAAAGTGAGACCGAGATTCTGGGGCAGGGTGAGAACGATGGCGTAGCGGAAATCGGTCGTCTCGTTTGTGAAGAATACGGCGATCATGGTCGGCCAGATGACGTTGAGGGCGTAGTAGAACATTGTGACGACAAAGCCAGCGACGAAAGGGGCAGTTAGTCGGCGGCCCTTGTCACGGGTAAAGATGCGGGTTGGTGTCAGGGGCTGCTTTAGGGGGGCAAAGGTTTCCCAAAGCCCGAACAGTGTCATCAGAACAAATCCAGAGACAAGGGTACCAATGACACGGGGATTATTTGAGGGCAGCGTTGTTGTGTAAACAATGCCCGTCAAGATGAGCGTGGTTGCAACGATGAAGAGAAAAGCACCGACGTAGTCAAGCTCGCGAAGAGCCTGAGAGAAGGGCAAGCCGCGTGGATGTCGTGGCGGGAAGTAGTAGAAGTAGAGTCCAGCGAAGGAGAAGACGACCGCAATGGCGGGTGCATAAAATAGCCATCTCCAAGCCTCGCCTTCCTCGATGGCGAAGCGTCCAGCGACGGGACCAACAACAACTGCGAAGTAGACTCCAATATCGGCCAAAACAATGGCGGAGTGACGCCATTTGTTCGGTAACAACTCTGGCAGCGCAAAAGCGGCAAGCTGGGCATTGCCTGCACCAAACCCTATCAGAGCACATGATACGATGAGAGACGTCGTGTTCTTTGCGGTACCTCCAACAATAAAACCTATGAAGAGCAGTACGTTGCCGCCCACGATGAACCAACGACGGCCGAAGAGGTCTGAGTTGGCACCACAAATCATAAAGGCAATCGTCACTGTCATGGTGTAGATTGGGATATACCATGCGGATGCAGTGGGATCGCCAAGCTGAGCCGATACAACTGATTGAGCAGCACTAAGAGCGGGAACAATCCAGAATGATATGCCATAGGAGAGCGCGAGGATCTGTCCAGAATTGTCAGCAATCGGGTTCGAAACGTGCATTTGAGGTTGAGAGACGCGCCCAAACAACTATCCAAGTCTTGAAGGTGACATTGTATTCTGTATCATCATTCGGAACAAATGCTATGTCCTGGTTCTCTGTGTGCACAGCATCTCTCGTCTTCTCCACATCAACCTCTGAATGTTGTCGCATGGATGAGCCGTCCCTAGTCGCAGCTGTTGCATGCGCGGTCTCGGAGGTGGACATGACGGAGCGAGGCTTCGTGTTGCAGTATTTCGTTTAGATTGAAAGACAAGATGCTCGCAGGCCTTGGAAATACATCGTCGCTTCAGGGAAGGGAAGTGGAATCGGGCGCGACAGACTATATGCCTGGCCCTCACCGGCGTGACAACTTCCCCTCCGACAGTCTCGACTACTCAGTAGCTTGTCCTGTCCGCAGCTTCTGCGCCACCTAACACGTCAACATCTCTTGAAGCAGTGACTCGACTCGCGCACGATCAATCTAGGAGTCTGTTCAGCAGTGTCAGAGTGCTCTAGTCGGTTCTTGTTGTGTTAGCGCCGGGAGTTGGTCCGATCACTTGAACATGCCTTCTCCCCCGCAGCCCGCATTGCGGAAAACCATCTCCAGACCCCACTCCGAACAGCCCTACAGCCCTGCGGATACGTTATGAGCTTTCTTGTAAGATTCCTCGTGACGATGAGGACACAGGTCTTGTTGTCAAGGGCGTTGGAAGAATGATTCAATGAAAGAGAATGCCACTTGTAGCAGCACCTATCATGAAATCCGAATTACAGAACACCCACTGCGACCAAGGCGCGAGGGGCGAGTGGCATCTCGTTCAACGTTGGCTGAACAAGCTTCAACAGATAGACGAAGACTGGAAGTGCGACCCGACTTGATACGAGAAGTATTGGCGCAAATACTGGATTGCGGTGCAAGGCAGCCGAGTAACAGCCAGCTGGATAAGGACACCCGGAGCCTTAGCCATTCGATCCAGGCGGTAGGGCTGCAGTTTCAGGCTTTCCCGTGCCCGATAGGGCTAGATCTGGCGTGACAAGGCCTGATCGGGTGCTCTAAGCCCAGCATGAGGGGGCACTGGTGGCTTGTGACCAGGTATCCAACTCAAAACGTTCGCTGTCGGTATCGTGGTTGACATATGAAATGCCGGAACGGGGGCTTGCAAACGAAATGCTGGGTGTCGAGAGCCGATGCAAGTGAGTGATGCGGAGGCCCGTCGCGCCGATGCTTGGCTCTTAGGAGCAGCAAGGCAAGGATACAGCACCCTCAATGAGCAGTGCTCGTGCGCTTTCCTGTCGACTTAGTCTTCGAGCGAGTGTTGCTGGTCTCAGGTGTAGGGTCCTCGATTTTTCGAAGTCAGAAAACACGAACAGGTTCAGAGCCAGGTATACCTGGCATTGCATCGATCAACGTCATGATGGCAGACAAAAGAGTAGCTATCATAACAGGCGCTTCTGTACGAGCCGGTCCTAGACAGCAAAAAAAGAAGTGCTGACACGATTTAGTCCGGCATGGGAGAGGCCCTCTCGCGAGACCTTGCGAGCAAGGGCTGGCATGTCGCTATGGCCGACCTTAATACCAACGACACGCTGTCGTTAGAGCTCGGACGAAACGCCAGCTTTCACAAGACAGACGTAGCCGACTATGATAGCCAAGCAAAGACATTTCAAGAAGTCTGGAATGAACATGGTCGCATCGATGCTTTGCTCGCAAACGCGGGCATCGTTGACAAGGAGTCCTTGTACATCTTTGACCATCGAGACTCAGATATCATCCCTCCCAAACCTAGCCTGCTGTGCACTGATATCGATTGGAAGGGTGTCGTCTACGGAACGCAACTGGCAACGCACTTTATGCGCAAGAACAAGGTCCCAGGCGGCATCATCGTGGCGACGGGAAGCGTGGCGGCATTATACCCGCACGAGACGTATCCAGAGTATGACGGGGCCAAGGCGGCAGTCGTTAATTTCGTTCGAGCAACATCACGAGTGCTCAAGATTGTGCGTCTGCGGAATTGACTGCTGTCATGTTGGTCTGCCAAAGGCTGATGCGGTGTGACAGAAGGAGAATATCCGAATCAACGTTGTGTTGCCCGGCATCGTGGCTACCAGCATCATCCCACCGGAGATGGTAGCTGCCGTTTCCCCTGAATGGTAAAGACTCAAGCGCCAGTGGCAAGCAGTGAGCTGACGTTACTGCCCAGTATGACGCCCATTTCGAGTATTGTCGCAGCGTACGGTACGTTTCTCGAGGACGATACGCTCAGTGGCCAGGCGATCGAGTGCTCGGCAGAGAAAAGACTATTCGTACCGACGATGGAGCCGCTTAATGGCCATGTTTCGAAGCGAGCCGTGACTGTATGGGAGCCGCTTTTCAAGATGTATCACCATGAAGGTTCGGGATTGCCCGATGCCATCGAGTGACGAGGCCAGAGGCGTGTCGAGGTACTTCGGTTCTGGAAAAAAAGACAAGGGGGAGCCATTGCCTCGAGAAGGTGAGAATGAACGCGAAGGATTTGCCAAGCCGGCGTTGCGACCAGCGTAGCGGATGAGCCCGACGTAAGGGAGCTAGTTGATCTTTTCGACCAGACACCCAGGTAGGCATGAGCATATGGAGTCTCGCCGGTGCTTCGACATGCTGATGATGGTTATGCCAAGCAGGTTTGGCGGAGTGTCGGTCCTCGCTCCAGTGGGTGCAGGAATGGGTGCTTCGGTGCGGGGTAGTAGCTCTTGCTTGTTCTTTTGGGGAACCAATGACTCAGTGTATTTCAAGGTTTGGCCTGTGCGCCTGCCGCTCCAAAGGTTCCTGGCTGGTTCTTGGCCTCTTTGAGATTTTCTCTCCGACCTCCTTACCATCGCGACCATGGCCTCCACACCATATCACGGCACATGCCGACCCCCAGATGGTTCATTTCGGCTGTGCATTAAATACCATGTATGCGCTATGACCGTCATCGTCATGGGCCAAATACTTCCCCATCACGACATCTCAATCGGCTAGCTGGCCCCTCCCATCCGTCCCGGCTCAATGCAGTGCTCCACTACGTTCCGTCTTTCCGGAGCACCACTCTCCGTTCAGCGCAATCAAGTAACCCGAGACGCCCTCCAGCACAGAGCCGAGCCAGACTCTGGCGTTCATGGGCCACTCACAAGTGCATTCAAAAACACAAAAGGGCAAGGCTCGAGGTCCCAGAGGCTCGGCGCCAGATATGTGATCTTGCATCTCTCGTCACGTCAGGCACGAGGAGGGCAACGAGCCGCGTCAATGCCCACGTTTCCCTGATCTTCCTTCAACCCCGCCGACTCCCAATCCCTTGGCACGGAGAAGATGGCGATCGACATTACCGTTTGGGGTAGAGAGGGGGGTCCAAACCTTCAATGTTGCCTCGGGGACTTCGTGGCATCTCCGGCTTCAGTGAACCTCCACCTTGCATGGGCTGTTGAACCCAGGTGTCAACCTGAAGCGTGCTGCGCCTCTGGGCCATCATTTGCTGCGAAATTCAAGTCTTGGCTTTCGTCTTGACTAGATCCTCAACTTTCAGCCTGCAATGGTCACGACGGCACTGCGGTCAGCCATCCATCTTGGCAGGAGTATAAGATGCCTTGGTTCTGGCAACTTGGATCTGGCGCAAGGTCCCCTCTCGCTCTCCGCCAGTCAGAGGCTGTCATCAGTTGCTCAGAAGCATAAGGATACAGACACATCGCCGACATGTCTACGAAGAGCTTCCTAGTCGCCGCGGCCTTGACGACGGTTGCGCTGGCCGTTCCCCACAGGAACAAATGCCGCGACGTCGCCACCTATGAAGGCAACCCGCTTGCCGATGTTCAGCTGTATCCTGATCCATACTATGTCAACGAGATCGAGACTCTAGCCATTCCACAAATCGAGGACGAGGAGCTTGTGGCAGCCGCCAAGGCGGTTACCAAGATCTCGACCTTCCAGTGGCTGTAAGATAAATTGCCTGTTGGATGTTGGCTTGTGGCAGCCAAAAGACTGACAGGACCAGTGACAAAATATCCAAGCTTGATCTCCTAAACAGCACGCTCCATGAGATTCGTGCGGCCAACGACGCTGGCGCAAGCCCTCCTTACGCCGCCACTATTGTTGTGTACAACTTCCCCGACAGGGACTGCTCGGCCAAGGCGTCGGCCGGTGAGCTTATCCTCGCCGAGGACGGTCTCAACCGTTACAAGACGGAATACATTGATCCCATCGCGGCCCTCATCAAGAAGTTCTCCGACATCCGTACTGTCATCGCTTACGAGCCCGATGGTCTCGCCAACCTTGTCACCAACATGGCTGTTGAGAAGTGCGCCAATGCCGCTTCCGCCTACCGTGAGGCAACCGAGTACGGCCTCGCCACACTCAACTTCGCCAATGTCGCCATATACGTTGATGCTGGCCACGCCGGCTGGCTGGGCTGGGATGGCAACCTCCAGCCTACGGCCGAGCTCTACGCCGAGCTCTACAAGAACGCTGGCTCCCCCAAGGCCGTCCGTGGCGTCGTCACCAACGTCTCCAACTTCAACGGCTACAACCTCACAACGCCCCCCGCCTACACAGAGCCGAATGCGCAGTGGGACGAGTCCAAGTTCCACGACGCCCTCGCTCCCCACCTCGAGACAGCCGGGTACCCGGCACACTTCATTGTCGACCAGGGCCGCTCCGGGGTCCAGCCAGGCTTGCGCTCCGCTTGGTCCCACTGGTGCAACATCAACGGCACGGGCTTCGGTCCTCGGCCGACGACCGAGATTGCCGATGAAATCACCGACGCCATCGTCTGGATCAAGCCCGGCGGTGAGAGCGACGGCACCAGCGATGAGACGGCCGTTCGCTTTGATGAGAACTGCCACAGCCCCTCGGCCTTCCAGCCTGCGCCCGAAGCCGGCGGTTGGTTCCAGGCGTACTTTGAGATGCTTCTGAAGAACGCGAACCCCCCTCTGGCGTGATCCTAGGAAATTGAACATTGCCAGACCATTGACTTTGGAACCTGTGCCGTGCTCATATGATGTGTGACGAACTTGGGCCTGCGATGATGACGCGTGGAGACGAAGGACGTAGAGAGTCGTTTGCAAATTTCATTGACGCTAGATAATCGCCATCTAGCCGTCCTTACAACGCCAAATTCCGCTCCAGTGCAAAAGGTCTAGCGACCCGATGAGATGGGCGCGCCAGGGTGCGGCGTGATACCCCTTCAGCATTCGCCATCAAACGTCCCTGGTCAGTCAAACAGAGAGGCAGTAAGGCGTGAACACGCGTGTACATCAAGCTCTCAACGCATAAAACAGGGTATTAATATCTACTGTGATCATCATGATACGCAATCAGAGGCCTGCTGTCTGCCAGGGCCACCCACAAACACCATTCACCGTGCCCAACGACTACGTAGAGTACACGGCTCAGGTACAACCCACTGTGGCCCAAGCTTTTCTCTCACCTTACACAAACACCACCCGCTGGCTAGATCCATGCCTTGTTCGTAAACTATGTCAAAACCTGCGCTGTCCGGTTCGACTCGAGACGTGAAGTAGTACTGTTGATCCCACATGGTCTCGTCGCCATCAACGTAATACTCCGGTTCCCTTTTCGACGATAAATCGAACCGGCTTCCTTGTTCGTCTGCGGAAACTCATCGTACGGCCTGGAACTCCCACATTGAGTCCCATCGGATTTTTGCTCATCGACATAGCCCTCGCCATGAGCTTTGGCCGGTCTCCGTCGTCAGAAGAGCTGGGCGACGGCAGGCCATTACCGCCTCGCTCGTCAAAGCCCCAGCGCGCCACACCACCGGTGCGGATCCACCCCTCGAGGTTGCGGCACTGGCTGACGTCGACCCAAGTCAGCCGTCCACAGCCGTCGAGTAGATTCTCAACGCCATTGCCGGTGACTCGCACGCAGCCACGGACCGAGATGCCCTGCAACTCGTTCAGGTGCAGCGCAACTGATTGCAAGCTGGCGTCCGATACGGCACTGCCACAGAATGCGAGCCGCAGCTCCTGCAGAAGAGGAAGGCCGAGCGCAACAACCTCGGTAGACGTGTCGGACAGGGCGCAGCAGAACGAAAGATCAAGATGGGTCAGGTTCTTCGCGGCCCCCACCAGCGCGACAATTGCATTATCAGACAGATATGTGCAATCGGCAAGGCACAGTCGATTGAGGCCGAGAAATCGAAAGGGCGCCCAGGACTGAAATCCAGCATCGGTGATGGATGTGCAACGTGTGAGGGACAGTGACCTCAGGCGCGTCGAAGGAAT